TCAGGTTCATGAAGAAATTAACATTCCTCATCTTGCATTTGATCCTAAACTTATTGAACTTTGCCACTGAACGAGAGCCTGCTAGAGCTATACAGATCGCGGGACCATTTGATATATTTGATGAGCAACCGAGGACACACGTCATTGCCGGTCGGCAAATACTACCGCAGTGTTCCATTCACGTTGTTTGTGCCCAATGGAGTTTCTTCACAAGAGCGCTGTGTAGTGATGCCGAGGTTTTAGCAGCGTCCAAGAAAATTCTACGGGACGACTCTAGCATAAGATCTTATACCTCACTCTCCGGTTCACGGACTGCTCTTTTTGTTCAAACCTCACGATTAAACCGATTGCCTTGATCATTGAAATTGAAGGTAGCTTGAAACTTTGTTCCGGGTGCCTCCATTTCCTATGGCATGTTCGACGATGAGACCCATTATCATTTTGTAAGCACCTCCATGGCCGCACCAAAATGTGTATTCAAGCATCAGGGTCTTCTTCTATTTATCATGGGTTCACACAACTCTCAACATAATTTCTGCACCAATTCTCAGCACAATTTTGTGCGTAAGTAAGATTAAATAAAGTGTTATTAATTAGTGAGTAACGACATCTGTTGTGCATAGTATTTTCCACGGAGCAGAACACTCAAAGGGGATCATACACCACTTCACAATTTTCTTGGTAAAAAATATTGCTACCGCCAAATAAAAAATCACAAATTTATCTCATGTTCCATGGGAAGATACCAGAAGGCATCAATATTTCTTTTGTGTAAATAGGTATCAGGAGGTACCATAATAAATTAACACTAAAAAATATGGTACCATATAATGTCTTTTCAAAAACAATAAAAAAGGCTAAATAAATGTGAAGGAACGATACTAATGAGTTACCAACTCAATCCAAAAGCAGAGCTCATGCCATTTTGCTTCTGAGAGGAAAACAAAATACTAAAAACTGAATAAATTAAAACAGCGCAGTGCATAGCAATTAATCAAAAAAAAAAAAAAACAGCAGTGCATAGCCGGCCATTCTCAGCTGAAAGACAGTTTCAATGAATATGATCTAACCATCGAGTGCCATTTGGTTAGACTGTGTTGTTTCTTGATAATGGTTAGACCTAAAACCAAGATAGAGCTAAACTCCATAAAATAAGTTAGAGCTTTTCCTATAGAAAAAAGGTTAGAGCTAATGCTTTAGGTTTGGAGTGTGGAAAAATCTAATTGGTGTATTCTATTGTTTTCTAATCTATTACATTGACTCTCTTATAGGGATAGAAACTTAGAGTGCAATACAAGTAAGAGTAGATTTATCTCTAAGATTCTATCTCTATGATATATCTTATCTCTATGTTTGTATTTGAATCTTATCTCTAACTAACATATTTGTACTTCTAACAAAGAGACCATAGAATTAAACAATTGAATCAAATCTAAGCTTTCTATTATTCTCGTATGCAAATCCTGACAATAGTTGTAACAATAGCAAGTTAAATATGCTTGCTGCTAACTGTAGAGAAAGTGGAATAGATGCCTCACCAATGTGGGGAGGTGAACTCTCATATATATATAGCAGAATTACAATCAATGCTAGTGCTGAGTTACAATCAATACTAGGGAGTTACATAAGACCAAAGGTCTAGGAGAGTAACTATCTAGGAGTGTAAAAGTTTAGGAGATAAACAGCCTATAGATTAATAAATAATCCTAATACCCGCCCGCAGTCGTAGCGGGAGGAGCATGAACGCACAGACTGGACCGAAAATCAGTAAATAACTGAACCGGCAAACCTTTGGTCATGATGTCCGCGAACTGGTGCGATGAAGGGACATGAAGTACCCGGACTTGTCCCAAAGCCACCTTTTCACGGACAAAGTGGATGTCGATCTCGATATACTTCGTCCATCGATGATGCACGGGATTCGCTGTCACGTAAACAGCACTGACATTGTCACAATAGACAATAGTAGCCGAAGCAATTGGGACATGAAGTTCTAGTAGCAATTGCCGCAACCAGCAGCACTCGGCGACGGCATGAGCAACGGCACGGTACTCCGCCTCAGCACTGGAACGAGAGACAGTAGTCTGGCGCTTGGAGGACCAAGAAACCAGATAATCTCCAAGGAAGACACAGTAGCCGGACGTGGAACGAGGAGAATCGGGACAACCCGCCCAATCCGCATCGGAGTATGCCGTGAGGGACTGAATCGGGCCGGAGCCGATGTGGAGGCCGGTGGAGAGGCTGCCCTTCACATACCGGAGGATACGCTTGACCAAGGCGAGATGAGGCTCCCGCGGATCATGCATGAAGAGGCAGACCTGCTGAACGGCGTAAGCCAAATCCGGCCGAGTCAACGTGAGGTACTGTAGGGCGCCAGCGATGCTCCTGTACTCTGAAGGATCGGCAACGGGCAGGCCGTCGGTGGCGGAGAGCTTGGCACGAGTGTCCACTGGTGTCGATGTAGAGTGGCACTCGGCCATGCTGGCCCGGTGAAGAAGATCCACAGCGTACTGGCGCTGTGAGAGGAAGAGGCCGGCGGAGGAGCGCGTCACAGAGATGCCGAGGAAGAAGTGGAGGTCACCAAGGTCTGTCATGGTCGAAGCAGTGAGGATGATGTCATCGACGTACAACAGAAGATAGGCAATATGATCTCCATCTTTGTAAACAAAGAGAGATGTATCGGACGCCGAAGGCAGAAATCCCATCTGTCGAATGTACGTGGCAAACCGCTGGTACCACGCACGGGGAGCCTGCTTAATACCATACAGGGACTTCTGCAATAGACAGACAGCATCAGGGGCAGCGGGGTCAACAAACCCAGAGGGTTGCTGACAATAGACGGTCTCCTGTAGGTGACCATGACGAAACACATTCTTCACATCCAGTTGATGAATTGGCCAAGCACGGGATGCAGCGATGCTGAGAACAAACCGTATGGTGGCCGGCTTGACAACCGAGCTAAATGTCTCGTCGTAGTCGATGCCATGCTGCTGCGAGTAACCACAGACCACCCAACGAGCCTTGTGACGAGCAAGAGTGCCGTCAGAGTGGAACTTATGCTTGAATATCCACTTGCCCGTCACAATGTTGTCCCCAGGGGGGCGAGGAACGAGACACCAAGTGCCGTTGTCAACCAACACCTTGTACTCATCAGCCATGGCAGTGCGCCAGTTGGGATCAGCCAACGCACTGCGATAATTGGCCGGAACAGGAGAAGCAGCGGTGGCGTGGGTAGCCGTGTAGGTCAGCCTGTCAACCGGCCGTAAGGAGCTAGTCTGGGAGCGCGTCACCATGGAATGCGGCTGAGGAGCAGCAGCCGTGACAACCACATTGGGTGAAGATGATGGCGGGACCGTCACGGTGGGCCGACGGGTGTAGACATGGCGGAATGGTGACACGGTGCCGGCTCGGGTGGCACCGACCGACGGGGCAGCGCCGATCGAGGAGGCGCTGACCAAGGGCGTGCCAGCTGATCGGGCGTCACGTGCCGCAGGGACGGTGTTGTTCGGCAAGCGTCGGCCGAAGAGGGGAACGTACGGTTGCTCAACCTCCATGGAGGGAGCCACCGTAAGGCGTCGCGGTTGCTCAACCTCTGTGGAGGGAGCCACCGTGAGAGGTCGCGGTTGCTCAACCTCCAAGGAGGGAGCCACCGTGAGAGGTCGCGGTTGCTCAACCTCTGATGAGGGAGCGACCGCTGGAGGGAGTCCCTGCAGCAAAAAATCAAAAGACGAGGGAGCAGGGGGAGTTGCTGCGAAGGGAAATCGTGATTCGTCAAACACGACGTGGCGCGAAATGATGATGCGGCGAGTGGAGAGATCCAGACATCGGTATCCCTTGTGGGAGGCCGGGTACCCAAGAAAAAAGCAAGTTGTCGAGCGAGGGGCAAGCTTATGTGGAGTCGTGGCACTCAAGTTTGGGTAACAAAGACAGCCAAAGACGCGAAGGTGGGAGTAGTCTAGGGTGGTGCGATGTAGGAGCTGAAAAGGTAGTGAGTGGTGAACAGAGGAGGAGGGTCTCCGGTTGAGAAGGTAGGTGGCGGTGGCGAGAGCCTCAGCCCAGTAGGACGGAGGCATAGAGGCCTGTATAAGAAGGGTGCGTATGGAGTTGTTCATGGTGCGGAGCATCCGTTCGGCTTTACCATTTTGGGGGGAGGTGTAAGGGCAAGAGAGTCGTAGCTGGGTGCCACGACTAGTAAGAAATGAAGTGGTGGCGGTATTGACAAACTCTCTGCCATTATCAGCCTGAAGGGTTTTGAGTGGTAAGCCAAATTGGGTGGAAACATACTCGGCAAACTCAACAAGATGACGATGAACATCAGATTTGTGTCGGAGTGGAAAGGTCCAACAGAAATGACTGAAATCATCAAGCACCACTAAATAATATTTAAAACCCGAAGTACTCAACACCGGAGAGGTCCATACATCGCAATGGACAAGCTCAAAGGGAGTGGAAGTGCGAGACAAAGACCTATCGAAAGGTAATCGGGTATGTTTGCCTAACTGATACGCATGACATAAAGAGGTGTCTATTTTATTACAGGAAATAGAGGACATATTTCGAAGACTGTGGATGGCGGCTGGACCAGGGTGACCGAGACGACGGTGCCAAAGCGTGGAAGAAGTGGCGAGGGAGCAGGACGCGGTGTTGGAGGGAGTAGCAGCTGGAAGGGTGTAGAGTTCCCCGTGACTATTGCAGCGAAGAATCACGCGCTGGGTCTGAAGGTCCTTAACAGAGAAACCAAATTCATCAAACTCAATGGAACATTTATTGTCGCGGGTAAACTGACGAACTGAAAGTAAATTACGAACTAAGGAAGGGGCGACAAGGATGTTTTTGAGTGCAAATTTGGTGGTTCCTATGGGTAGAAAAGAGGTGCCACGACAAGTAACGGGAATAGTTTGACCATTTCCAACAGTAATAAAAGTGTAAGAGTTAGGCAAGCGTGTAACGAGGATACCATCAGTGGAGGACATATGAGATGTCGTGCCGGTGTCCAAAACTTAGTTGTTTGGGCTTTGGAAGGCCATCTGGTTCAGTGCTGCAATGAGGCCAGCTTGCTCCCAATTGGGCTGGCCTGTAGGAGCAAATGTGGGCGACACAAATGGCCTAGCATATGTGGTATTGGCCTGGGAGTAGTCGGCCGTCGGAGCCGGCCCAAGAAGGCCGGCTGAAGAGGGGCGCCAGGCCTGTTGCTGGGCCGGCCAGGGGTTAAAACAAACCCAAGGCCCGGCCGGCCTCCAGCTAGGGTTGGCCACCCAGCCGGTCGAACTCCCTCCAGCAGAGAAACCGCCGCCACCAGAGGAAACGCCGCTGCCACCGCCGCCAGAGAAGGCCTGGCGAGTGCCACCACCACCCCCACTGCCGCCGCCGTTCCCTCCTCCATTTCCGCCGCCGCGTCCACCATTTCCCTTGCGGTTGCGGCGGTTCGTGTTGCCGCCGGTGCGGGCCTGGCCAGCAGGGAAGCCGCCGCCACCAGTCCCACCGCCCGGGAAGGTCTGGCGTGCGCCGCCACCACTCCCACTGCCGCCACCCCCACCGCCAGAGGAGATGCAGCCACCGGGAGGGCAGGAACCGGAGCCGAAGCCGCCGCCGGCCACCAGCGCCGTGGCTGCCGCCACCTTGGCTTCGTTGGCGATGCGCAACTCCTTCAGCAGGAGGGTGTTGCGCGCTGAGGTGAAGCTTGGGAGGACGGCTGCGCCAGCGATGTTATCTCCGGTGTTGGAGAAGCGCTCGTTCAGGCCTTGGAGGAGGTTAAGCACGAGTTGGGATTCGGTGACGGCGTGGCTGATGTCGCGAAGAGCGTCGGCAGCGGTCTTCATCTTCTGGCAGTAATCGTTGATGGAGGAGTCGCCTTGAATCATGGAGTGAAACTGGTGGCTGAGGAAGATCGCTCGAGGCTCTTTGTTGGCGTGGAACATGTCCTCGATGGCGACCGAGAGCTCCCGCGCGGTCTGATCGGGCTCCATGGCGAGGTCAAGGACGTTGTCGGCGACTGACCCGAAGATCCAGCTGCAGATGCAGCAGTCGGCCTGTTCCCAGGCCGGGTCATTGGGGCGTGGAAGAGCGGAACCGTCGATGTGAGCCATTAACCCGAACTTGCCGCACAAAGATGTGAAGAAGGCCCTCCATTTGTTGTAATTCGGGTGGGTGTTTTCTAGGGTGATGGGGACGTGGGATTTGATGGCGACCGTGGCGTAGGGGTGGAGGAATTCGCTGGTGGTACTGGAAGAAGAAAAACCACTCGAGGCCGAGGAGGTGGAGGACTGAGTTGATTCAGTCGACATGGCTGGGATGCAGCTGCGATGGCAGCGTGCTAGAGCAGCGGAAAAGAAGGTAAGAGCCTAGGCTCTGATACCATGTAGAGAAAGTGGAATAGATGCCTCACCAATGTGGGGAGGTGAACTCTCATATATATATAGCAGAATTACAATCAATGCTAGTGCTGAGTTACAATCAATACTAGGGAGTTACATAAGACCAAAGGTCTAGTAGAGTAACTATCTAGGAGTGTAAAAGTTTAGGAGATAAACAGCCTATAGATTAATAAATAATCCTAATACTAACAAAGTACATCATAAAACACAACACTCGTGAAGCTACTAAAATATTTAGGCTAAACCTTCCACAAAATACTTTTGCATTTCAGTGGATTTGGTCTAGTATGCATGAGAAAAGAGAATATTATAACATTTCTAATTCGTGAATTTCTACTGATCGCCAAGTCCTGCATGCTGGATCCTTTCCTAGACCTTGTAGTCAGCTAGCATAGTCTGATATGATCTAAGTTTGGTCGTCCAATCTGCTCAAGTAGCTATCATTGTGACCGGCCATCCATTTCTAAGGCTGCCCGTTGCCACCAAGCATCCAAGGGTGAGGCCAGTGCAACTACAGGGATAGGTGTAGGAACTTGTCTTACTGTGTTGTATAGTTGTAAGGTGTGCAATATCGATCCCCTTAGCTGTCTCAAACAGCCGAAGGCGCAACCATGTCGGCTTAGGATCTTGCCGCCGAATCCATTCTAAGTCCTACTTATATGTACGTCGTCGCAAGAGTGTATCCGATGGGTTGAAACTTGATTCCCAACGCCTCCTTTTCCCAGGATCTTGGTTTTAGTGAGTGGGGAAAAACCGGATGTTGATCGATATGCCTTGGGAATATGATGAAAAATTGAACTAGCAAGACCTATATATATAGCATGAAGATTTTGTGTGTACCCATCGACACTAGAGCTATAGCTTGTTACCATTCTCGCATTGTTTTCGTAAGAGAGTTGTGGTGTTCTACATCACTGCTGGGCCAGCTTGGAAGCAGGTTCTAGCTAGTGTTCTACATATATATATGGGACTCGATAAAAGTAGGCAATGAGATGCCACATGCACATATGGTACGTTATTTAATTTATCATGAAGAAAAGATCACACCGTAATTAAACAACTCAGCCAACCATATCTGCTTCTGGACGTACGCATCCATGCATCATTGTATTTTATTTGTATACTCGTACTCGATCTTGGAAAAAAAGATGGGATGTGTCCATGCATGTATGCACCCCGAGCCTTGGAAGCTTGAACGTTTCCGTATATTAGCTAGTGTGTTAGAAAGTTGGGCTCAGTCTGATAAAAAAAAGGTTGGACTCAGTAGTTAGGAAAAACAAAGTAATTAAGAAGAACTCACTACTACAAAAACACCCATAGGTGTCGGTCACAAAGGTGCCGGTTAGCTAACAACCGGCACCTATAAGTCATTTCCCGTCAATATAGCAAAAAAACAGCACCTATAACGATTTATTGGTGTCGGTTTTTGTTGGGAAGGTCATTGGTGCCAAAAATACTCCCGCCAACGGTCCGAAAATCGCATAGGTGGCGGCTGTGGATAAAAAACCGGCACCTGTATGAAAGGTGGCGGTTATTTAACCAAAACGACACCTAATCCTAGGTTTTTTTTTGGATGAAGGGAGTACTTGATTGTAAAGGTCAAGGTAGACTAATTGTATCTAGGTCCTTAGCAACAATGTATTCCATATACTAGGCTGTTCAAACATGAGACCAAGATGAGTTTGACTAAGAAGATATTAGTGCTAATTTTGCTTCAGTGTCACACATCATAGATACAATAGAGTCACTAGAACGGATACCCTCATCTCAATCGGGCGGTAAGCCCCATCTCAATCGGGCACAGCGTCCGTCACAGACTAGAAGTCACTGATGTGAAGAGTTATCTCAATCGGGCAAACAGCCGTCACGAATGAATATATCTCAATCGGGCCCTAAGTAAAGCCCGTCACCGATAGCTTTGACCCAGATAACCAGTCAAACTATAGCCCGTCACACATGACCTATCTCTATCGGGCCACAACTAGCGCCCGTCACAGATGACTACTAACCTTTATCGGGCCTAAACTAGAGCCCGTCACAGATGACACTCATCTCAATCGGGCCTAAACTATAGCCCATCATAGATGACTGATGACCTCAATCGGGACTAAAATAGAGCCCGTCACAGATGACTGCTGACCTCAATCGGGCCTAAACTAGAGCCCGTCACAGATGACCTCATCTCAATCGGGCATTTAGTTATGGCCCGTCACAGATGACTATAATCCACAAAAAAAATAAATTTTGTTTTTTGGCTAGCCTCAGGCCTTTGCTAGCCATGCCCGCTGCAAAAATGACAGAAACAAACACAGATATCCAATATCCCCAGCTCCCCAGCATCACCCATTCATATACATATGCATTCACATACACAGACATCAACATATTTCACACAACCACACATTCACAGCCATCTCATATTTCACATCCATTCACATATTTCACATCCATTCAAATATTTATCATATTTCACCTGCAAAACCGAGTTAATTGGATCAAATATTTATTTAGCAAGTCTTAACATAAACATATGAAATATATACATAAATATAAGCATCACAGTTACATCATCACAATTACATAATAAGTGTTCATCATTGCCTAAACATAGAAGTTCAACATTGTTCATCATTTTAGTTTAAGCCTAAACATTCCTTTGGGGTTAATTATTTCGCGGAAGATGAAGCTGGCTATCTCCTCGCGAACCTCCTCAAAGCTGGTAGGCAGAGACTTGGTTATTGTGCCCTACATTGTCATAATTCCAGATTAGTTTATCGATCATATATAATTACTAAATCACGTGTTCCATAATCAGTGTCTACTTTCTGTTGTTCCCATTACACAAACCACGATATTAATAGTGCTAATAAGAAATATTACTACAGTTAATGAAACATCATTTCATGAAAATCGATCATATATTCATATAAAAAAACTTCCTATAATATTGTCCTACAAGTAATTTTGCAGTTATTAAGAAGGTATCAGAAGGTATGACACATGTTCTAGTATAAAATTTGGTATCCCTCGATATCTCTAATACTATAAGATATCAAATCTTACACTAAAAATATTGGTACCTCCTGGTACATATATTAAAAACTGTAAAATTACCATTGTTACATACTTCGTATAGCTCAGCACCATCCTGGTACCTCCTTCATATGCCCATGATGTCCAAACACACACCCAATCTCAAAACTATTTACGTACACCACCCGCCACTAGGGTTTACGTTACTGCTGGTAACCGCGCGGTTACCGCGGTTACCGGCCTTACCACGGGGGTACGGTAATAGAAATACCGCGGTAAGCCGGTAACCTCCTTAAATTCAAATAAATTTAAAATATAATTTGAATTTTTGATAAATTTTGCACGGTTTTGTATGGTTTTTCATGGTTACCGCGGTAACCGTGCTTACCGCCGGGGCATGGGGTTACCGTGCTCCGGCGGTTTGGGAAACCCTGCCCGCCACCACTGAGGTTGGAAACTGCTATGAGGTCGTGGATGGTAGCGGTGAGGCCAGTGTAGCCATGGGACTAAAAGAAGGCGGCTGCCTCCTGTACAGCAGCATTGCAACCATCAGGCGGCCGGCATCCATCCTCTAGGCGCTTGAGTCCAGCCGGATGCACAATCCTGACAGTTCAGGACCCTCATGCATGTGTACTCTCCTATCGTTTTACTTCAGCAGACCATAGCGCTTTCAGAAACTTGAAAATCTGCTGCTGGCACCTCCCTTTCCCTATGTATGGACGGACGGTTTAAGAGCTTGTTTGTTCGGGTAAATTTGGATTTCTACAATCCCTTTAGAGTGGCATGAAAACTCAACTAAAGAAAACATCAATCTGCGGAGGGTTTGGGTGTTCTTTTTTTTTTCTTTATGGGTTCACCAAACAACACCTATGTGCGTCGTGACATCCAGATCTCAGAGCTTGTTGAAGAGCTCGTCTTTGGCATTGTTTTCTTAAGAGTTCTATATATCATAGAAGAGCCAGCTACTAGATGTCTAGATGCAGGTTTCATCTATAGAACTGGATGAGCCGTGGTATTTATCATGCATATGGGACGCAATGTCACAACGTAATTAACTACTCCACCAACCATGCTTTTGTGTAGACACATGGATTATTTACTTAAACATTTTCTGTAGTCGATCTTGCAAAAAAAAAAGCCATGTCTCATGTGCGAGCTAGCTTCAGGGACTCAGAATTAACCACACAGAGGTGAGCATGTACATCTCCGTAAACTATTGTGTTATTAGAGCAATTTTACGGTACTTGAGGAGATACCATGAGGTACCACTTTTTTATTGTACATTTGGTAAGATTTGCTACAGTCTAGCAAAAAGTACCTCGAGGTACTGCTACCTCATGGTAACAAATCGTTTCCGACCATTCGATCTAGCTGGGCAGGATCGGCATTGTTAGATTCAATGCTTGGAAACGATTTGGTACCGTGAGGTAATGCTACCTCGAGATACTTTTTGTTGGATCGGAGCAAATCTCAAATTTGGTATCTCTTGGTACTTACGTACCATGAAGTACCTGTAAAATCAAAGTGTGTTTGATTCTTATTCTCTGATGAACAATTGGCATATGAGTATTGGTTTTGATATTTGGAGATTATTGGCGAAGTGGTTTTGGAGATGATTGGATTTGCAGGTGATGAACAGGTGCTGCTGAAGATTTGGTCCGATCAGACCGGGCAAGGCTTGCCGGTCAGACCGGCATGTATCGAGCGGTCAGACTGTCTAGCCCGCGGTCTGACCGGCTGACTCTGTGTCGGTTTTGTTTTCGGGTTGTTTCGTTGGATATTCATGGATAGTTCATATTTATGGCTTCTAGATGGATACTATGCGTATGTAAAACTGTTGTTTGCTAACAATGAGTCAAGTTGGAGATAGCTTGGTC